TGGACAGTCTTCATCATAGGTCTGATGATTATAGGACTTTTTTTTTTTTTTTTTTTTTTTAGTACTTTCCACATGGCCAGGCCCTGAGCTGAACACTTTGTAAACATTATTTCACCTAATCTTTGCAACAGCCTTGTAAGGTAGACGCTGTTTTTATTCCCAGTTTACACATGAGAAAACCAAGGCTTAAATCACTTCCCTGAGGCCACATGGTTGATAAATTGCAGAGCCAAGATCAGACCAGTTTCCCTGTGACTCTAGAGCTGTCCTCTCGAGCACTGCAGGTGTTCTTCTTTTTATATACAATAGGATCAAGTCCAGACTATGACCCCGCATCAAAACTCAGATCCTCATTCAGTCTATGGTATTGGAAGCATTAAAAGAAAACCACTCCTCTTTTATCTTTTTGTTCTTTTTTTTCCTCCTTAATATCTAGCTTCTGGTTTTAGCTTTTAATTGTTTATAAGAGAGGAACGAACCATTGGGAAGAGTTTAAAATCCTCATTCCATATTCAGGTTGGGAAATGTACATGTGTGGGGGTGGGTATTAAACAAGACTTGAGCATTAAACATTTCCCCTCCTGAGCCCAGCTCCTCTTCTCTCACTTGTTGACTAAGCCCTGCTTCACTGAGCATTTTCTTTTTTTTCTACCCACAACCTGAGTGCCCCATGGAGGTGAAGGACATAGCCTGAGTCTGTGCCATCAGTCAGTAGAACAAATGGGCTTGCTCTGCCTAACATCGGGCCATCTCGGATTCCACCTCTTTTATGGGAATGAGTGATGAAGAGAGGTGCGTTCCGCTTTGCCGCTGTATTAATACACATCAGGGGCCAGCTCCTGGCACTAAATCACGCTACTGCATACATCTGTTATCGGACTCTTCACCGGTGTGATGAACAAGACTGCAGATAGAGGCTTCCTTGTGTCATTCTTTATAGGATTTTCCTAAAAGAATAAATAGCTCAGATCTCTGCCAACACTCTCCCCTGTCACTGTGATGAATTCAGCTTCTTTCTTAAACATGCAGCCACAAATCTTTTCCCTTTCTTCCCCTCCCCCACTGGTAGAAAGTTTTGAGTTGAAATTGACTGAATTTAAAGATATTAATAAGGGTAGAGAGGTGAAGAGCAGGAAGAAACAGTATGTCTTCCTTGTCTTTTTGTACTAATAGTAACAAAAGGCCAAGGAAAAAGACCATAAATGACCATAGGGTTGTTAAATAGACCCATTTTGAAAGTGTAGCACCTTTATTTTCTTTGTATCTTCATTCTCCCCTCCTTATGGCTTTCTAGCCTGCAAGTGTCTACTGCACAGAACTCCATCCTGGATCTTAGTGAGTAAGCATGCTAACCTGCTTCTGAGACTTGATACACCAGAACAGGGATTTTCCCGCAAGTGTCTCCCTCATGCTGAAGTGAACTAGCTGAATATGCTCTTAAAGAATGTACTCAGAAAAGAAAAAAAATGGATTATCTTCTCCAAAATTTGAGACTAAGTAGCTGTAAAAAACGTAATAAACCCAGATGAAAACCAGACTTCGTTTTCTTGAAATGATTTTCTTCATCAGAATGGTAGATCAGAGCCATCGGCATGCAGATTCCAATCCTTCAAAAAGTAAACACATGGCTTTTGATAAAGCGGAATTGAGGTGATCAGAAATTCTGTTGAGAACCCAGCTATTTGTGTGAGTATATTTTAGCTATCCCAAGAACTTTTTCTGACCTTTCTCTTTCTGGGATAGGATATGTGTGCTTAGAGTATCATTCAGAAGGATACCGGATAGTTAATCTGCTAATTAGTTACATCAGGTTTCAAATACTAGGTCAGTGACATAAGAGAGAGAAAGAGAGAGAGAGAGAGATTTGAATTGTCAAATGGATTGTCAGATGCATTCACAAGAGCAGGACTGCGTATCTGTTTTGCTCACTACTGTACCCCTAGCATCTAAATGAATACCTAGCCCGTGGAACAAACCCACTAGTTATTTGTTGTAAGAATAAATTATTAGAATCTTAAAGGTGAAACAGTGATTCCTGATGTACTCTAACCACATGGTTGGATTCAGTAGTTCCATTTTAGGATGTCCCTTTTCTCGGGAGTCATAGGGCAAATTCTTACTGCCCACTGTCTCTTTTTAAAGTTTAAATGTTTTTTAAAATTAAACATGTTTCTTAGTAAATATTGAATGGGTATAAAAGAACGTTTATAGCAGATATGTAAGGAGTAAAGAAAATACAGCAAATATCCATGTACCTACCGTTCACTTTAAGAAAAAGTTAAAATTTTCTTTTTTCAAAAGTTAAAATCTTCTTTAAAAATCTCCCTGCTCTCCTCAGAGGTAAAAGTTATTCTGATTGTTTTTTATCGTTTGTCATTCTTTTGTTTTTTTTCAAGTAGTTTTAGCAGACATATGTATCTTCAAGCAATATATTGTCTAGTTTTGTGTTTTTGAACCCTTGTATATGGAATCAAAGTATGTCATATTTTATGTTGCAGCTTTCACCCGGTTCTGTTTTTGAGATTCAGTCATGCTTTGTCCTGCCAAAATCTATTTTTCAGCTGCCATGTATATAGTATTCCATTGTATGAATATGATTAATATACCGTAATTAAATGTTCTTGATGGACATTTGGACCGTATTCCTGTTTTATGCTATTATGGAAAATACTGCACTGTTCTCTGAGAGAACAAGTGCAAACATTCTTTGAGGCCACTTCCCGCTCATTAGGATGGCTGTATCAAAAACAGAGAGCATCAGGTGTTGGTGAGGATGTGGAGAAATTGGAACCCTTGTGCAGTACTTGTGGGAAGGTAAAATTGTGCATTGCTGTGGAAAACAGTATGTAAAAAAAATTCCTCAAAAAATTAAGCATAAAACTACCATATGATCCAGCAATTCTGTTTCTGTGCATATACCCAAAAGAATGAAAAGCAGAGACTCAAAATAGTTTTTTGCACACCTTGTTTACAGCAACATTATTTGCAATCGTCAAGATGGAAACAACTCACATGTCCATTGCTGGATGAACAAAATGTGCTGTATACATACAACGGAATATTATGTAGCTTGAAAGTTTTCTTGTTCAGAATGAAACTGCTACATGCTACAAATTGGATGAAGACATTTGCTAAGTGAAATAAGTGAGACATAAAAGGAGAAATATTGTATGATTCCACTTTTGTAAGCTGCCTAGAATAGTCAAATTCATAGAAACAGAAAGACAAATAGTGGTTGCCAGGGGCCAAGGGAAGAGGGAAATGGGGAGAGTTACTGTTTAATGGGTACGAGGTTTCCATTTGAGATGATGAAAAAGTCCTGGTGATAAATAGTTGTGATAGTTACACAGCAGTATGAATGTACTTAATGCAACTGAACTGTACACTTAAAAATGGGTAAGATAGCAAATTTTATGTGTATTTTACTGTAGTAAAAAATAGCAAAAAAAAAAAAAAAAGTTTTTCTAGGGTAGTGCTTTTTTCACTGCAGTTTGGTGACCATGTAGGTATAGTTTTTTGAAATTTATTACCAGTTAAATATGAGTGAGTATGTGTGCCTGAGTTTGTTGTGAGTGCGTGTGTGTATGAGAGAAAAAAGAGAGAGAGAGAGATTTGAGTTGTCAAATGTATTTCCTGCTGCTCTGGTGAAGTTCCAAAATGTTTGAAAGCTTTTGCCCTCAAGAAACTCTTGTATCTAGAGTAACAGCTTTCAAGATATTTTTACATTAGCCCACAATAAGAAATTCATGTTTGAATATGTGTGTTGGTTGCACATGTAAATCTGAAATAAATCCTGGGTGCGTGCTGATACTTTCTATTTTTTTCATTGAGAAAAAAAAGTAATGGTCATGACCCACTAAATTGATTTTGTGACCCGCAATTTGAAAATTACTGTTCTAGGTTACATTTCTGGGAGTGGAATTATTGGGTGACAGGGTAAAATCCAAACTTTCCTAGGTTTTGCCATATTTTAGTATATATTTGTTCTTAGCAGAGTGGGTGGAGATGATGGTTTGTGCCACTCCGCTCAGGGGCATTTGGAAATGTGAAGTAAATGTTTGTTTGTCACAATGACTGGGGAATGTTCCTGGCATTCAGCAGATAGGATCCAGATCGGTGAGTGTTCTGAAGTATACAGGACAGCTCTGCACAAGCCATGTCTCCTGTCCAGAATGTCTTTAGTGATCTTATGGAAAAATATTGGGCCTGATTGTGCTCTTTTTCTGCCATTTTCCTTGTTGTATGGTATATATTTATTGGTAACACTGCCCTGTCGGAGGAATGGGTTGTGGCAGGAAGAGCGTGGGGTTTAGAGTCCAGTATCTGTGTTTGAATCTTGATATTTAACCAGCTCTGTTTTATCCCTGAACAATTTATCTGATCTCTCTATACCTCAGTTCCCTGATCTAGAAAGTGGAGATCACTATGAGTCATCTCTACGAGTATCTATGAGTAAGGGTTTGTATTAACAATTAAGATCATGAGTATTCATTGTTTAAGCAATAGGCACGTAAGTACTCTATAAGTGATTTTTACTACATTATGAATGCGTGCTCCTGAATTTATTTATTTGTTCAATTGAACCCATTTTCTCAGATTAGGAAATACTATCTTACTTAAATCTTGTCTTTACTTTTTTGTAGAGAAAAAAGAGGTACCTTATGTGGCCACTTAGGTTACTAGGACATGAAGTATAAGGATTAAGAAAATTTTGTTTCTAAGTGTCTCTCATTCTAATTTGTCTTATTCTAATTTATCTCCCCTTGATGTTTTTGCTCCTCTCTATTGTAACCTTACTAGTTCACATGGATGCAGTGGAGCCAACCACACCAGCATCACAAGCCCCCAAATCACCCAGCTCTGAGTGGTTGGTCAGGACCTCTGCAGCAGAGAAAGCCACAGATGCAACTACTGCTACATTTTTTAAAATGCCACAAGAAAAGAGCCCTGGATACAGCTAGAGAGCAAGACTTCACCCTCCAGGAGCTGACTGGGTGTTGCTGAAGCAAATGTTGGACTTTGTGTTAGATAGTCTTGCATATCTTAATCGACATTCTCAGTCCTTTCACCACCAGAACCAACTCCTCTTTCAGACACAGCAGTGGACTCTTTCTCTCAGAAGATCATGTTGTGGGAGTCTTTTTTTTTTTTTTAATAGCAAAATATTGAGGCAGCAATTTTTTACAAAAAGGTCATCCTCTGCTCTATTTGTTACCTTGTTACTGCTGTCTCAACATTTACTACAGCTCCATTTACAGAGCTGTTGCTTTTTTGCAGTTGTCTTTGTTCTTGAAAAACCAGTAACTGCTTCTGCATACGTTTTGTGTAGAGCTTTTAATATCATTTGAGGAAGTTCCAAATTTGTAGCCAGTTCCAAACAAATTTAAATAGTGAGTTGAGGCCTGTATGGAATTGTTTGCAGGAGATAAGGCTTGCCTTTGAGCCTACTCTTGATTCACGCAGAGTGCCAATAAGATAAATCAACGAGGTTCTCATTTTGGAGCCTCAAAAGAGACACCAGCAACTGGGCCTTGAGAACTTCCATTTTTTTGCAGATTGTCTGCAGAAACTCAGACAGCTCATCAGCAGCAGCAGCTGTATTGTATTTTACCTCATCTTCAGAGTTTATGTTCTACTGAAAGAGGACGTGTGTATACATGCACACGCACACACACAGCTTGGTGTAATGGTGAAGATGGTTTAGGTGTACAGCAAATTTAAAATAGTCAGTGAATTGTGTCTTACTACTTCATGTCCCAGTGTAAGCCTTTATGTCCTAAGCAGAACTTTATTGTTAGTATTATAGGTTAATAACCTGCAGCAGAAATTCATACTCTATTATAATAATGGCTTCTTGGGGCCATGCTTTGGGGAGGTAAAATGTCTTTTTGACATGCCTTTATATTTGGCGTGTTTATGATGGCTCAGCTGCATGTGGAGTTATATATACAGTCGTGCCTGAAGTTGGATGCTACTTTGTCAAAATGAGAAATAAGTGATGGCCTGGAGCTGCTGGAGAGAAGCCACGCTTTCTAAAAAGTATTATCAAGAGTGTCTGTCATTCATTCAGGGGCCTGGCTGACAGAAGGGCTTTTTTTTAATACCAATGAGTGCATTTACTCTGAAATACACAGAAGCTCTTGGTGAATTGCTGCCTGCTCTGGTCACATTGTAGAGGGACTCCCACTCATGCACCTGCTTATTTTCTGTCTTAAATAGGTGCTGGATGGGGCAGCACCTCCTTCCCCCAAAGTGCGATTGCCCCTGTTTCCCATACAAAGTGTAATGATGGGTTGCTTTATCATACTCCCTTTTACAATTATAGTCCTTATCAATGGAAACTCCAGATTTCTTTATCGATGAAGTGGGGAGGTGGGTGGGCACGAATCTAGTTGGAAAAGGGGATTTGAAGCTAAGTTTACATGGCACTTTAAGACTGAGAACATGTCAATTGTTCATAATCAGGAATATGGTAGAGGGAGAGCAGGTGGAGACGATGGGACGGGGAAGTGCTGAAACCGGCCCAGCATGCCTCTGAGTCGCCCTTGGTTCTCGTGCAGCAGTGTGTGTGCTCACAGGGGTGTTCTACCCTTGGTTCTCGTGTCATGCAGCAGTGTGGGAGAGTGCTGAAGCCGGCCCAGCATGCCTCTGAGTTGCCTCTGGTTCTCATGCAGCAGTATGTGTGCTTAACAGGAGTGGAGATGATGAGACGGGAGAATGCTGAAACTGGCCCAGCAGACCTCTGAGTCACCCGTGGCTCTCATGCAGCAGTGTGTGTGCTTACAGGGATTTCCCAGGCTGCACTTCCCTTCCCTGTGGGCTGCACCCACAGAAGTATAGAAAATATGTCTGTTGAATATAAATTGGTACCACTGAATTGTTTTAGTGATGAGGTTAGATTTTGTTGTCATGTGCATTGTCACCATAGTGACCCGTGGCATATATTTTTAACATACTTGGTTGAGTTTGAGAGAAATCTGTGGACATAATTTTTTGTTTGTGTCAAGCTGTATGACTCATGCAGTGATTGGTCCCATGATCATGGCCTATTAGTGAAAACCTCCAAAGGTCAGGTGGCCAAGGTGTTCCCACAGTTTTTCTATATAACTTGTTGCCTGATAGTCCACTTTTCTACCTATGATTAAAAATAATTTTTATATACAACATTATTTACATTTCAAACATCTCTACAAAGTCATGCCATTTTAAGGAGACGAAAACAGTCACAGAGTTGAGTGACTTGCTCCAAATCACAGAACTAAGCCAGGACTAGAATCCCAAACTTTCAGATTTTCTCTGCCCTGGGTTATAATCTCTTGTTTTTCAGTGATAGACCTGAGTCAGTCTGAGATGCTTATTTATGAAACAGTATACCGTGAATATTTATTATCTTCTTGGGCATGCTTTTCTACCCATTTTGAATACTTTCAACAGGGATTACCCAAGAATGCAACATCTACCTGTAATAAATGGGGAGAAAGTTAGTTGCCTGAGAGAATAGAATATTAAGCACACAAATACTTTCCAACACAGGGTTGTAAATTGTGCTCCTCATTTTAAGGTGCTGTATGTGCATGTTTAAGGATTATTAATCAATGTATTCTGCTTGCTTTCTGTATTAACCAGTTTCAGAGGATAGCCTTAGAAATGAGTGTATTTTGAATCTTAAAACTTAAAGTTTCTTTATATGCGGCACAGTGTATAATGTCATAAATTAAGAAAAATCTATTATCTTTCAAAGAAATTACCTAGTTTCAAAAATCAGGTTTTGTAATCAGTGTTGAAAAACTCTGAAACACGACTTACTTTGAGGATGATCCTTGAGCTCATGTATTTGACCTGCTCAAAAGTAATAACTAAAGCTGAGTTAAACGGTTTTTATTTATTTCAGGGTTCTGATTTTTCCCAGCTGGCTACACAGATGGCCTATCTGAATCCTAATTTTGTGTGTTTTCCACGATGGGCAGAAGTCAAAACATTATCTGCTTCTGTGAGGATCATTAATAAAAAGTTGGTTTTAATTACAAGTTTAAGGGAGTTTTAGTTTATTTTTCAGATGCAGTATTTGAAAGGAACAAAACTCTCGTGTTGCCTTTTGTTGTTGTTGTTGTTGTTGTTGTTTCCTAGAGACAGGTTCTTGATCTGTCACTCAGGCTAGAGTGCAGTGATGTGTTCATAGCTCACTGTAACCTTGACCTCATAAGCTCAAGCCATCCTCCTGCCTCAGCCTCCTGAGTTGTGAGAACTACAGAAGTGTGCCACCACGCCTGGCTAGTTTTTTAAGTTTTTGTAGAGATGGGGTCTTGCTCTGTTGCCTATGCTGGTCTTGAACTTCTAACCTCAAGCAGTCTTCCTGCCTCGGCCTCCCTAAGTGTTGTAGTAATAGGTGTGAGCCACCATCCCCAGCCTTGTGTTGCCTCTTGGTAAGAACTAATAAAAGGAAATTAGTAGCTTGTTTACCTGGTACCGGATTTGGAGGGGGCTGGGTATAGTTTTTACTGAGTGGTATGTGATTGGAAAATAGGCCACATTAGCCTTGAATTGTTTAGAAATCAAATGAGATTTGAAATTTTAGAGGACATTGCTGGGCTATGAAATAGGCTACTAACAAGGCTATTTTTGTAGCAAAATGGCCAAAAGCTGAAATAAATCATCTTAGTCTGTGATGCTTGTAGAGCATCCTTTGTTAAGTAAAGCGCAACACCTAGGACAAGTAACTAAACTAGTTATGACTTCCAAATAGATTGATAGAGCCTTGCATTTTGGAGTTAGAGACACTGTAGCTGTATCTATATACCTGTAATATAGCCTGGAAAGTTCTGTTGCTGCAGAGTTATCATTAAAGTCACTTGGAATTGAAGAAGATACGGAGTGTTGAGACAAAGGAACTAGGCTGGCACAGTCATTGCTGATGCGATGGGTTCTCCACTTTGGCTCCAGGCGTAGGCTCTTGGTGGTGATGCGTGATTCATTTCCAGTCTTTGTTTCATTTTGGCTTCATTACTGTGGTTCTGAGCCACACAGGTTTCTCCCCCTGGGGAGAAGACTGTAAAAACCTCAGCATTAGCAGCTGTGTTCAGTGCCCTGTATGTCTTGTGAAGCTTATCTGAGCTGGACTGAGAGCAGAGTGCCTCACTCTCGCAGCTGTGGATGCAGTCTAGTCGGAGGCATGGCTTGGAGGACGTCATGGTTCATGCGATGGTTGGAGGGATGGTAAAAGCAGTTAGCTCTTGTCAGCTGCTTCCCTCTGCTAGTGCTTGAGCTGCCAATTTTATTTGTCAGTGTTTCCTTATCTCCCACTCCTGTTGTGAAAGGTCACAGAGTTACTGTCACTGGCAACAATTTCTCCCCTTAGAAGAAGTCTGGTACAGAGAGAAAGGGTGAGGAAAATGGTGAATTCCATCACTCAGAACTAAATGCAAGTGGCACAGAGATGCTTTCTCCTGTGTTAACGTCTCCAAAAGATGAACATCAAATGCCCAGAAACAGCAACATCAAAAAGAAGGAAGATGAGAAGTATTGTTGAAGAGTATGGACTATAGGGTTTTTAACAAGTCCAGCAAGACAAACTTATGGCTGAAAGAAGACATTTTTCTATCACTGCAAGTAGACATCATAAATGCTTGGTAAAATTGCCAGATTTAGGGAATAAAAAATTTTTCAAGTACAGTATTGAAGAATGGGGGCACATCCTGAAGACATTCAGCAAAGAAGCAATCTTGGCAAGGTGGAGAAGTGGGAAGCAACGTGGAGAGAAAGGGAGCTGCCCAGCAGGAATTCTCAGCGTGTGGTCCCTAGGCCAACAACACCAGCACACCTTGCCCACACCAGACCTGCTGAATCAGAAACTGCCAGCGCAAGGCCCAGCAGTCTTTCAGTAAGCCCTCCAGGGGGCTCTGGTGCATGCTCAAGTTTGAGAACCATAGACTTTGACACAGTTAAAAAGATGTTTTAATGGACTGGTCTCCTTCTAAGCTCTGAGATGCTCTCATATTCCCTCCATAAGTAAAGAGATTTTTTTTTGTATAATTCTTTGCAGAAACTGTTAATGTCTTTATTTCTCATATTTTTTTCCCCCTGCAAGCTCCTGAAAGATCTTTTTGAAAAATTGACAAAGGATGCTATCAAGGGCTATGTTTAGATGGATGGAAATAACCTTGAAAATGGATAAAGCCTGGGTGTGGTGACTCACGCCCATAATCCCAACACTTTGGGAGGCCAGGGCAGGAGGATTGCTTTATCGCAGGATGTGAAGACCAGCCTATGCAGCATAGTGAGACCTTGTCTCTACAAACACTTTTAAAAATTAGCTGGCTGTGTTGGTGCATGCCTGTGGTCCCAGCTGCTTGGGAGGCAGAGGCAAGAGGATCGCTCGAGCCCAGGACGTTGAGGGTGCCGTGAGCCATGATCTGGCCACTGCACTCCAGCCAGGGTGACAGAGCGAGATCCTATATCAAAAAATGAATAATCAAATAAAAATGGATAAAAATGTAACAATGAGTTGTTAGTCTATCAATGATAGTCATTTTTCACAATTGGCAGTAAAAATGTGATTTGTGTAAGGTATGAGTTTACCACATTTGTTCATAAGATCTTAGTTTCAAGGGAAAGTATCATGTATTTTCCAGCATGATAATGATGAATCATTTAAAGTATGGCTCATAAAAATGAAAAAAAAATATTGGAAGAAAAAACCACCTTGGGTACATAGGTGTGTAATAAATAGCTGTTGAGTTATTGATAATCTCTTGCTAGGATTGAATCTCAGTACTTCAGAGCATGTAAAAATCAATTTTCTGTGATCCCACTTAATCACACCGTGTTGTCTTTTTTTAGATTTCAGTTAGCGATTCTGCAGGGGTTGGAGACCAATAGCAATCTCATGCTTTGTTGTTGTTATTGTCTGACTCGTGGATTCAGCATTTCAGAATATGGTACTCTAATCTTAAGGCTTTGAAAAAAAAACCGTGGCCATTTTTTCTTTATATTTTACTTGTGTTAATTGGGCTGGGTCCTAACTGGTTGCCAGAGCCCAGAAATCCAGGTTCTGTCTTTTCAGGGAATATGCATAGCTAAAGAGTTCATTGTGTTTGCAAAGGTACACTAGGAGTTCTCATTTCCTCAGATGCTTATGTGTGTAGGCTGTTAAGCTCTCGTTTCAATTTTTGCAGTCTTTTAAAATGCCACACAATTTTTCTTTTCCATCTTAAAGACCAGTTAAAACTACCTCTGGCCACAAATGTTAGTGTTACTAGATATTATCAAGGTGTGAGACTAAAAAGTTAGAAGGCTTTAAGATATAAATTATATAAGTTAATGTTTTCTTTCTCTGAAAGTTCTGACCCTTGCTGACCCCTCATTCAAATATTTTTAATTGAAAGGGGTAAGAAAATATCAGAGAACTTAAAGATGGCCTTCGTGACTTTGACTCAAAATCAACACATTTCATTATGTATAGGTCCTACACCTTGCTTCCTCAAGCGGGCCATGAAAAAAAATCTCATGACCATGCAAACTGATGCCACCCCAAAACCATGGTAACGATTTGAATTGCTCTCAATATTGATCTCAAACTCCCTCCAGTTGTCAGCAGCTACTGCAAACTGGCTATTATAAACCCTTTCTACCCCCACCTTCTCTCAATCTCAGCAGTTAATCTCAGCCCTCCCCCACCACGTAACAGCCTCAGGCAGAACTTCCCGCTTAGACACCGTCACACACACCCTTCCTTACCTTCTTGCCAGTGCCTGTCCTGCCCAAGACGAATCCCTTTTCCTGTGCCCTAAGCCCTCTCCCTTGATAAATGACTTGATCTAGATACAGCCTCACACTCCTGGCACATACAGCTTTGCATTTAAACATGTTCAGATACTCCTGCTTCAAACAAAAATACCTTTCCTCAACCCTTTGAAAGCCTAACTACCACTAAAGTATACTGCCCTTATCTGCACTCTGTCCATTCTGCAGTCCACTGAGACAGTGGTTTTTAACCCCGGCTGCATGTTAGCATCACCTGGGAAGCTTTAAAACGTCCTAATTCTGCACTGGACCACAGACCCATTAAGTCAGCATGGGGAGGTGGGACGGGTTTCAGTCTTTAAAAAGAAGTGTAGCTGAGGCTGAGAACCACCGCTCTAAAACCTGGCTGCTACCCTTACTACCATGAAAACTGTTCTTGCTGGATTCACCAGTGACTTCTACTGTCAAAATGTAGCCCATAGGTTGATTTTTATGATACTGATGCTATATAACCACTTCCTTCTTTGGAATGCTCCCTTTCCTGACCCTGCTTTCCTGATTTTTCTCCCACTTCTTTGCTCTTTCTCAATTTCTCTGGGTTGTTTGGTAGGTCAGTCTAGCACAGACTGGATGCCGGTCTCTGCCACCACCTCCGTTACTTAAGTGAACACCTGTGTGCCAGTGAGTTCCTTTGCCATACCACCTTAATGCACCAACTTAAAAGCACAGATTAGAGGGGAGCGTTCACATTCACTAATCACTGCAGGCTTCTAGGAAAGCATACTAAAGGACTCTGGTCCTTCTCTTACCTCCCTTGTTCCTCCTCCAAGCCCAGTGAGGTAGGAGGAATTGCTGATTAGATTAGTGAGATTCTAAGGTGGATCACTCCTGTTTACTTATGAGTTGCTGTTTGTGAAAAGATGACCTGGACTGTGGTCCCTCTTCTGCTTTCTCCTCTTCGGCGTCTTGGCCTGGTAAGGGGGCCTGTGCCCAAAAGAGGCTCCTCCACCTAATGCTGTCTTCAATCTGTGGCTTTCTGCTGCTGGTTAAGATTTTTAATTGGGCTGCCTCATCCCTTTTTGACCTTGAGCTTCACGTTGATCTTTATCAAGGAACTTTTTACTGGGGCATCACCATTAGCCCTATGAATACAGTGAAATTTGATTTCCCAGTCTACTGTTACCATTGCATGCTGCCCCTGGAACTGGATATATGGGTTCCACTTTCATCAGAAGTGATGCTGTGTGTTCCTGATGTCTTTGAATCGCTAGTTTCTGATTCAAAATATGGGGTAGGTGGATCTGATTAGTAGTCATATGCCTGTGTCCTGGCTAGGAAGTCAGAATGAGGTTATCTGGAAAGTTGAGCTTCCTCACATGTGGGAAGGTACTTCAGATGCTGGACAGCCAATAAGAATAACAAAGGTCCACCAGAGCCATTGCCCTATTCAACAAACATTTACTGAACACGGATTAAGCCAAGTGCTCCTCAGGGACCTCTTAGGGAAGAGGATAACTGCCCTAAAGCAGGATACCCCTGGGCCCCTTAGATATACTATCCTTGAGACTATTAGGCCCCTGTCCAGAATACCTAATAATAATAATGGCAAATATGTACTTAGTGGTCTGCCATTTGGAAACAACATCTCACTTATTCAACAACTCTAAGGGTAGGTACTTTTGTCTCCATTTTAAAACAATGAAATACAATTATAGACAAACTTGCTCAAGTCACATATCTATTAAGCATCAGTGAAGATTCAGATTCAAGTCTGTTTGATGTTAAAGAGTGTCTGTTCCCAACCAATACCTCTGCTGCCTCTTTTGACAAACTGAACTGTCAGAGGGCATGTACGTATGCATAAGCTGTGGGCCACTGGCCCCTGGGCCAGTGTCTGATGAGACCTCTTTATTGACTTGTTTCTCTTGGGCTGTTTCTCTACCAGGCCACTGAATGGGCTCATCCCTTCTCTGTGCGTACATCATTGAATGGAGATAGCTGGTTTCTGTGACATCCTCTTATAACAACCTAGTTTTGTTCTTGAGAGTGACCACAGCGAGAGAAAAGTCAATTAAATCTTGCAGATCTTGCAAACCTATGGCAATAAAAAGGTATTGTCCTTTGTGTACCAAGGCACAACTGATTCCTAAGCGAGGAAGATACGTGTTATGAGATCGTAATGTTAGTGATAGACTTTTCAACACCTTGGTAAACATTTCTTTGACTGTTAGCAAAAGCTGCCTTAACAGTCTTGGCTTTTAGAAATGTCCCTTTATTCAGTAGATGTGTATAGAACACATTTTATGCCAAGCACTCTGCTAGGAGCTGGGTATACAGAGAAGGAAGGCATTCCTGCTGTCATGATGTTCATGGTCTTCTGAGGAAGAGACAAGAAAAGCAAGTATTAGAATGACAGGGTATTTTGGCAGCAAGGAAGAGGGCACTTTAACTCAAACTGGGCAGTGGAAGAGTTAAAAAAAAAAAAAACACGGAATGAAATCCTGAAGGATGAGCAGGAGTTAAGAAGAGTGGATCAAGCCCTCCAAGGGTAAGAGCATGGTTTGTTCAGAGCACTGCAAGTGTTTTCGTATGGCCCACATGTAAAGCTTATAGAGGAACAGAGAGAGGAAGGCAGGAGACAGGAAGTGAAGGGTCCTGTGTATACTGGCTTACTTGTTGAGTTGGAGAACTATTGCAGTATTCCTCTGCTAAGCTCAGGGTGTATTCATGGAAACCCTACTGCAACTGGCCCATTGTGCATACAAAGCTGGAACTGAGATGTGGACAGGTTTGCATTGCCTTGGTCACCTTCCGTTGGAAATATAGCTAGGCCCACTTATTGGTAGGAGCTACTGACATGTTAAAACTAGGTTAAACTGAATTGGAAGTAATGCTTTATTTGGAATCATGGCTGACTGATTCCATTACATGTTCTAGCATGATACCAGTCTGAGGTTATTCCCCTTGAACCACCGACTTAGTAGAGTTTAATGCACAATGTGATGGTCTTAGTTCCTTGTACTGTTCTTCAGTGATGAAGTTGTTCAACTGCCAGTTAAGTTTTTTGGGCTTTGTTTCTCAGTAGTGATGGTAAATTTGTGTTGATCTGTTTACCCCTTTTGGACTGAACACCTTAGCAATCTTTGATATTTTAAGCCTACAGAAAGTGCCCATGGGATAAAACCAATCTGCTGGCTCACACTAAGTTCTGATCCCATGATTTTGGTCTCATTAATACCGTGCTATAAATAAAGTTAGCTAAACCTTTTGAAACTGCATAAAAGTGAAATAATTGTGAGTTTTGGGCCAACATTTTTCCTGAACAGCTTCTGACTGACCAGCATTTTAAATTAGGTGATATAGTCTAGCTTTTGTACATAGAAATAAGAAAGTGACTTTTATGTTCCATTATTAAAATAGTATAGGGAGGAGAGGTAAATATACTAATTTTTCATTGCTTATACTAGAGAAGGTATATTGACTAATGAAATAGAGGATTATGGGGATCATATGAAAATATGATTAAAGAGATTATCACTAGAAGAAAAATTCAGACTGCCAATTATGAGAAAAAACATGTATGCACAACCAAACAAATCACAAAAATGAAAGATTTCTAAAACAATAGAATAGGAACAAATGCACCTGTCATATTAATAAAAGTAAACTTAGCTATAGATAAAAGGCAAAAATGTCAGCAAACACTAATTTCATGTTATAAGATTCAGAAAGGTTGAGCAAAAGTAAACCAAGTAAACG